AAAAAAAATAAGTCCTCTTATTTTCTCCGCACGCTAGGCATGCGCGATATTCACAAGCCAGATTCCTTTTCAGCACCCTCATTTGAGGTGTGCAGGAATTCATACAGATCTACTTGACTGTAAACAGTCGAAGAATTATCCATATGCGAGACCCGCTATCGATTGAGTAACGGTTCAGTCTCGTTTCTTCCAACCATTCGGGTGGTTTCTTGGCTTTTTCTCTGTGATATTTCTGAGGACAAGTTTTGTACTCAGAGAATTGTCACTAATTTTTAAAATTCGATTGTTCCCCTTTTTCACAGACTTTTTCCCAAGAGCCACATTATCGCTTCGCGTCATTGCCTAATTAAACCAAACTCGCGAAAAATCAAACCAAGTCAGTTCAAGTCAAATCCGAAAAATGTTCAAAATCGCGAGCTTAGTTTTGATGGTTGTTGTCGTTCTCGCATGGAATGACGATTGCGTAAACGTTGGTGATAAGTATTACTGCGAAGACATTTGCGAGGCTCGATACGCTTCGTATTACAACGACGAGGTGATTTTTGTTGGACGGGTGCTGAACTTGCAGTGTGTGTTGATGCGGCATTTGAAGGTTGGTTTCCCTTTTCAACATCTGGAAGAATAGAAAGGATTAGTTTTTGCTATTTTTTAGAAAGTTACATTGACCACTCAAGTTTGGTGTCGGGGCACTGTGACGGAAAGAGTTCAGAAAATCGTCACCCCGTGGTGGTACTGTCAAGGTATGGACAAAACGAAAACTACTAGTACCAGTAAAACTTCTGTTACAGTTTCCACGAGTGAGTCTTTTCGAGTTTCTTGTAGCCAATCTGATTTTCTAAAATCTGTACTAAATTCTTTCAGAAACTATTTCAACTACTCCCATGACAGACTATACAACCGTTGATTCGTCAGTGGTTTTGGAGATGAGCACTGAGGTGTCCACTTCCGTTTCCACGATGCAAACGACCATTTCAGCACCAACTTCCACTGTTTTTGTCCCTGGTCCGGTACCGGAAATTCCGTTGGTGGTAGAGATGAATGAGCCAATTGAAAGGGTGATGGTCACGTATGAGCCCAAACAATCGGGTCATATTTGGCCATTTTACCTTTTGATTGGGTTGGTCATCTTTTGCATCTTGTTGCTTGCCATCTTATCAGCTTTGATTTATTTGAAATGGAGACCGGTATGTTTGCAAAGTTTTAACTTTTTCTCTTCTTAAAAGCATAAAATTTCCAAACTTTCAGGTTAGGGAAATCGTAAATTCCGTTGAAGATACTATTAGGATTTACAACCCTTTTTTCTCTGACGGAGCTGAGGAGGAAGAGGCTGGAGAAAATAGAAACGTCACTTATGGTG